TTTTTACGTTTTATATTAGAAGTCAAAAATTACGCGTTCAAATGGTACGATACCAAAGTAGAATATGGATACGACATTTTTTCAATTTATTAATGACATTTCATCAACCACTAGTACGAAATTGGACGCCCAAAAAAATAATAAGTTTATTAATGGATAAATGAAAAGTGACTCGGCAGAAAGATCAACTTACATCGTCCACATGGACAAGTCTTTCATGCCCAATGCTTATTCTCACCATACACTGGTATTTTCCACTGTCGATGAAAGAAAATATATTTATAACTTATGACAGTGCATTTCATGGGTTCAGTGCTGTTGTGTCGAAACAAGAAATCATACTCTAAACCCATGTTTCAGCCATATTAAAATTTTATTGGATTCACTAGTAATATATAAGCATTGTCTAAAACTTAGCCAATTTACTTGCAATCTTAATGACATTAGATTTGGCACAATAAATGCAATGAGAAAAATCTCGCATTAATGAAAGGTTGCACGACTTATTTAAGTAAAGTTGACATATCAGCACTCTTTATTATATTGTAGATTAAAAAAGACCCATGTCTGAAAATCACGAATTCTTATTGTCTATGCATATCGGCTAATGTATATCTGTCCATAGAGATCATCTACAACTTTACACAACTCGACAATTTTATTAAATCAACTCATGGCACGATTTGTATCGGTCAATTGCTTAAATTTGTCTATATATATGGAAGACGCAGCCCACTTCATGTCATAGCAATTGCGAAATTTCGAGTTTACTCCATCCAAACACCTCTACATCAAAATCTACATAGGAATCTCATAAACTCTTATCTTTTTGAAAGCCAAAGGAATTGTCACAAAAAAACTGAAGAAGAACAAAATGCCTTTCATGTTTACAATTTTTGCTTTGATATTTTTAGTCTCAGGAGAAAAATCAACTTACATTGTCCACATGGACAAGTCTTTCATGCCCAAGGCTTATTCTCACTACACACACTGGTATTCCTCCATAGTTGATTCCCTAAAATCAATTAGCCCAACATTAAATGGCCAGCATCAGAGCCCTCAAAGCCTTGTTTATACTTATGACAGTGCATTTCATGGGTTTTGTGCTGTTTTGTCGAAACAAGAACTCCAAACTCTTAAGAAATCACCAGGGTTTGTCTCAGCTTATAATGATAGAGATGTTACACTTGATACTACACACACTTTTGAATTCATGTCTCTGAATCCTGCCACAGGATTGTGGCCTGCTTCTGAATATGGCAAAGATGTAATTGTTGGGGTGATTGATTCTGGTGTCTGGCCGGAACGTTTAAGCTACAACGACGATGGAATGGGTGATATTCCGGTAAGGTGGAAGGGTATTTGTGAGGAGGGACAAGATTTTAATGCTTCATTGTGTAACAAAAAGATTATCGGAGTCCGGTACTTCAACAAGGGACTTCTAGCTGCAAATCCTAATACAACATTGAGTATGAACTCTGGAAGGGATACTAAGGGCCATGGCACACACACCTCGTCCACCGTTGCTGGAAATCATGTCAATGGTGCTTCATTTTTCGGTTATGCCTTGGGAACAGCAAGAGGTATGGCCCCACGTGCTCATGTGGCAATGTATAAGGTCAGTTGGGATGAAGGAGAATGTGCTTCTGATGTTCTTGCTGGTATGGACCAAGCTGTTGCTGATGGTGTTGACGTTATATCGATTTCGATGGGATTCGATAATGTTCCTCTGTATCAAGACCCTATTGCTATAGCCTCTTTTGGTGCAATGGAGAAAGGGATCATTGTTTCCTCTTCAGCTGGAAATGATCGTGTTATTGGAAGTTTACACAACGGAATTCCATGGGTTTTGACAGTTGCAGCAGGTTCGATCGACCGGTTGTGTGCTGGAACATTGACTCTTGGAAATCGTATGTCCATCGAGGGGTGGACTATGTTCCCTGCACCTGCCGTTGTCAAGGATGCATCTCTTATCTACAACAAAACAATTTCTTCTTGCAATTCAGCTATGGGATTGTCGTCAGTTGGATATGGGATAGTCATATGTGAAAATGGCTCATTCTATGAACAACTTTCCTATGTCTCCCAATCGAATGCTATTGCTGGTATCTTCATCTCTGATGAGATATTTGAAGACAGTTATTTTAATTTTCCGGGAGTTGTGATCACATCCAAGGATGCTCCAGTTCTTATCAATTATGTCACAAAAGGTGCAAAGCCTGTTGCCAGCATCAAGTTCCAACAAACATTTTTCGGGGCAAAACCGGCCCCGATGGTGGCTTCGTATACCTCTCGTGGCCCAGCCCTAAGCAATCCTGGCATCCTAAAACCGGATGTGATGGCGCCAGGAACGTTAGTCCTAGCATATTGGGTTCCAGATACTAAAACAGCATATATTGGTTCCAATATTGCTTTAACCAGTGATTATAAAATGGATTCTGGTACATCCATGGCATGCCCTCATGTTGCAGGCATTGCTGCACTTCTTAAAGGAGCGCACCCTGAATGGTCTCCAGCCGCCATTCGCTCCGCCATCATGACAACTGCAAGCCCATTTGATAACACAGGGAATTACATTCGAGATTTGGGCCTAGACAGAAAAATTGCTACACCTCTAGCCATGGGAGCTGGACAAGTTAAACCAAATTGTGCTCTTAATCCCGGCCTCATATACGATGCAAGGCCCCAAGATTACATCAATCTACTCTGCTCGATGAATTACACGCAACAACAAATCAAGACCATCACAAGATCGAGCTACACTTGCTCAAATACATCCTCCGACCTCAATTACCCATCCTTTATAGTCTTTTACACCAATGGAACAACGACTAAGCTGGTTCAGAAATTCCAGAGGACCGTTACAAATGTCGGAGACGGAGTGGCAACGTACAAGGTTAAGGTGACAGCACCAGAAGGTTCGATTGTTAATATATATCCAACAACATTGGTGTTTGGAGAGAAATTTCAGAAACGGAGCTATACTGTAACTATAAGTTACCAGGGGGACAGTTCAGGAGAAGTTACATTTGGTTCACTAATTTGGGTTGAGGATAATGGAAAGTATGCTGTGAGGAGTCCTATTGTTGTGTCCCCTATGATTAACACTTGGTCACCATTTATTTGATCTTACAATATTGTGAAATTCCATTGAAACTGAACTCTTCTCTAAATAAAAGTTATTAAATCATAGTAATGAAAACAATTTTAATGTTTCTCCTTAAGTTGAAACTTAGTACTGCAAAAGAAGAAAATAGAAGCATTCTCTGATAATTTGTTTATTCTCTATTAGCTTATTCTCAATTATAGTTGGACTAAACGAATCAATTGTGATAAACACGGAGACTAGAAGAAGGATTGTTGCCGTTTAAACAAGCAAATGCAAGATGACAAGGAATTTTTTTTATTTTGCTTAGGATATATATCATCTCAATAAGTCTACTTCATCAGCATAGCTCATTTAAATTTTTTATTTTTCAAACAGTGGAGTGTTCATTGAGAAATGAGTTAAAATAAATTTTCAACTTATGTTTGTACATTAAATATGCCTTATATTGTTCACGGTCTCGATGCAGATATTTCAATAATCATACTCATTTTTATATTTGTGATATACAAATTAATAAAATGGTTGATGTAAATATTGACAAGTCGTATGACATGAGAACCTCAAGGTCTTATCTTGCACCCCACATTTTTGTTTTTTTGTGGTAACTTACTTATCTTGATTCTTTCTTTTCGTCTTTATCGGTTCTCCACTCTTTCCATTTTTTTTTTCGTTTAGGTTATTAGCTGTATATGAGTTAAGGACACTTGACGTCGGGCAGAATATTGATTATTTTGCAGGCTGGAATTAAGTACAATTAGAGTTTATGTACTTCATAATTTGTTCATATAGTTTGTAAGAATTATTTTTTTATTTTTCACAGGATTTTTACAAGGCTTCAATCGAGTCCAAGTATGGTACCATTAGGGATGATCAACTTGAGTTCGATCCC